GAGGATATGTTGATATATGCTATTTTGCAAAGTGTCATGGGGTCGTAATTTATGTTTAAAAGGCATGAGCTAAGTGAGTGACTTTGCACTATACAAGACTTTGGTTAAAGTGTTATTTTAGTCAAACCTCACTTCAGTTTAACGTTTGCCCTTATCCTAACCCAAAGTTAACCACCACCTCATCCCCATCACCACTAATCACACCGTTTGGCCTAGTTTTTGCTTGTGTTTCAGAGGTTTGTTTTTGCTTTTGTAGCTCAACAGATATTTTGTAAATCTCTCTCCTAAGCAGCCACTGTGCTGCCTCAGACAAAAAGCTGATAACACCTGAAATACAAACATATATGGGATGTTTCTCTGTGTATGAGCAGCCTAAGAATAATGACTCAATTTGGGGACAGTAGGCCTTGGTCTCCATGATTTAAGTTATCGCTTGCTTGAATCACTCATACACACATGCACTGTGTGCTTCTTGTGTGTTTTCTGTGTTTGTGCGTACACACTCCGAGGAGCCATTTTCAGCCTGTTGCTTAGGCTGGCTGTAATTGTCCTGGGAATCGTCAGCTCTGTGTAATAAATCACTCCGGGTACACTGTGTTCTCCACTCTGGGATGGCCCCTGTGTGCGTGTAGTGTGCAGGCTTCACATATCGTGAGCAGAGAAAGAACATAGCTAAGGAATAAGGGGTTGAAATTACATTTAGAGAGACACAACTGCATCTTTCTGTCACAACAAGCTTTTTAATTCACCAGAGGCATAACTTCATTTTTTATGCTATGTGAAAAACCAACCAATAGATGTAATTGTTTTATTAAGAGGATGTAAATGAATGTCATATAGTCATTTTTTGTTTGGTTTTGCACACTTTGGTGCTCAGTCTTGTGTTTCTTTCCATTTCCCCTTTAGCTTTGCATGTCCAGACTACTGAGAAAACAGGTTTTTCTGACTTTCATTTTAATACATGTTTGATGTCAATTTTTCAGAGGAAGCTACAGTAACAGCATGTGAAAATGACTGTAGCTTGCATCAGGCTAAAATAATTGTAATAGAATTAAAACGTTATATATAAAGCAGGGATAAGATGGTAACGGTAGACTTTTTCCCTGGCCTACTGCCAACGATAATGTGTTTTGTGTGTGTGTGGTTTTTTTGTGTATCTCTCTGTAGAAAATAGGCTCTCATCATCTTACCCTCTGCTACAACTTCACTCAGATTCTTCCGTGTGCAGCATTTCTGCTAGCTTGGATTAGCAAGCAATTGGATTGTAAATGGGCTGCTTTTGTTGCACATCCTGTTTTGAGCTATATGGCCAGAGGGAGGCTTGTTGTTTCATCCTGTGTGTCATATTGGGGTTATTACATGGTCACCAGTTTGTTTTAGTGTAGCAGTGCTGATCTCTGACCTTGCTAGTGTTTACTGTTCTCCTTTCACCATCCCTTTCTGTTTCTTCTTCTTATTCTTTTTATCTGTTTACCTCCCTTTCCTTTTTGCTGTAAAGATTTAATCTTCTTCCCATTTTAAATACAATCTGCCAAAAGAAACTTATCTCCTCACCGGTAACAAAGGCTAGTGGAGCTATTGGGTGCTTCTTTACAAAATGTTCTCACAAAGGAGAAGCCTTTGCACTGGATCGCATCTCCAGTATTACACACCCACAATGGATCCCTCTGGATTCAGCACAAGATCAAGTCTATTCATAATTCTTGTCTCAGTGGAAGGGGGACCCTTCTTCTGAGTTTGTGTGTGTGTGTGTGTGTGTGTGTGTGTGTGTGTGTGTGTGTGTGTGTGTGTGTCTGCCATCCAGAGCTTTTCACTGTTGCTCAGAGCAGCGTGGGGTTCGTTGAGTTTCCAGGGGTTGCTGGGTTCGCGGTGCTGCTGAGAGCTAGTTTGCCCAAAGTCCTGTCCTTGAACTGTGAAAGAATATGCTGCTAGGGAAAGGCTTTTCAGACTGAGTGACTGCAATAGTTGAAGTCAAGCCAGCTGAATGGAAGCCAGGCAAGACAAATCCGGGGCTACTCGTAAGTATTACACAGTGGCCATAGGAAAGGGAATGTTAAAGTGGCACATCACATAAAGGGTTTTCTTGTCACTTTTAATTTCTAACACTTAGTTGGGCCATGGTTAAACCGTCAAACTATTTCATAGCAAAGAAGATGATGGACCAGATTGACCCTGTGTAGTTACTCTTAAGGGTTGTATCCTTCTACCAAAATATATTAAACTGACATTCACTTGGATGTAAATTTGTGGGAGTTTCTCAAGTTGAAATAACAAAATACTTAACATGTCGGTGAAGTGTCTCAACTGCAAGGAAAATTCCTTCATTCTACCCCGTATGGCTGCTGAAAACTGAACTGCCCCACAGGACAAGAGCTGTTTTCTATCATGAGTTCCAGGCTGTAACCAGAGGCCACGCTATCTAGCTAGCAAATACTAACTGTGTTCAATTATAGCAAAAGCAGAGAGAATGCTAATACAGTAGGCTGGCATGTCTTATGCAGGCTAGCCTCCACGCCGTTACGCACACGAATCTCGTTTGTTTCTGCGTGCAAACACATTCAAACACAGTCTAAACCGCAATATTTACAAATAAAGACAAAAGAGTGTTAAAACTTCATCTCTGGTATCTTTTTCTCTCTCTAGCTCCTCACCTCTGTCCCACAACAAGTTCCCTTTAAAGCCAGCCCAGAAAGAAGGAGTGTGTGTGTGTGTGCGTGTGTGTGTGCGTGTGTGTGTGCGTGTGTTTGTGTGCCAAGCGGCAACCATCATGGCCAAAAGCTGAAGCCAATGTGGAAGGGCCTTAAGATGGAGCACATTTAATGGTTGCTAGATGCTGTTTCCAAAGAAAAATCTCCAACTGCACATTTTTCTCTGTAAATACAAAGTCCTTAATTTGTTGTCCAAAGAACTTAAGGCCTCAATAACTCATTTAACTCTTATTTTTTATTATCGATCAGTTCATGTTCATTAAGAAGATATTATGACTTTAACAGGGATGTGTTTAGGGGTGTGTTTGCCTCACTACCTATTTTCCCCAGTTACAGTCACCGATGGCAGCAAGCGGCAAATTGAAATCAAAGCTTCAAAATGTCACTTTCAATAGAAACTATGGTTGTAGCTTCTTCAGGTTATGGTATGTACAGGGTACATGTTGGGTATAGGGTGCTCGTTGGCTGACCTACAGCAGTTCTTCACTGGCAAGCTTTATGTCCTCATGTACCAGCTAAAGCTGCCAGCTGAAGAACTGTTGTGGTCGGCCCTTCCCTGCACTGAAGACCCATCCATCCCCAGGAGTGAATCCAGCCTCTGACCATCATACACAATAATAAGCATTAGTCCATCACTACACAAAAACCCTGTTACTTATGCGGCATGTTCATGTGTTGAGATTCATACCATGACACCTGCTGTATCATGTAACAAAAGCATTGCATCATGGGACTGTAGACTCTGTCTGTCATTTTGGGTTAGTTTTCATGAGAGCTGCGCAGGTTAGTGGTTGTTTTTAATTATGTGTTATACTAACGTTGCTGTACAGTTTTGGTACAATTGTAAGTTTCACCTGGCTTGCATCATCCCAAAAACATATTTTTGTCGAGCATCAGCTGTCACATTCAAGTCTTTAAGGCTTGAAATACCACTCCTAGTTACAATTTAAAGGAAAACAAACATCTGAAATGTATATTTAGATATTCAAGGAGTTTGGACGTTGTCCACCAATGTGGGGAGCTTATAGATCAACACAGCACAAAGCTTATAAAGCTGAGGCTAAAATCATTATAAAAACACTGATGTGATAGTGGTTCCAATTTACATCTGGATTAATATTATTGTTGATACTAATAACTTTTTAGAAAAATCCTAATTGCTAATGGTGATAGAAGTCATGCTCTTCAATAAGATTTATAAGATGAATAGTGAGAAAAACCCTGACCTAATAAGACTTAAATAGGAAATAAATAAATGGATAGACAGCTGCTGTCGTCAACGTGTTTCTGCTTTTACTCCTCTGTGTCAAAAGGACATCTTCTGTTTATCTTCTCTATAACATCTTCTCTTCTTTAACAACCCTGAGTGTCATGCAGAAGAGCACACATATAAACAGACAGACATCTTGCCTGTGACCCTCAGCAGTCATAAATCAAACTTCAAGAGAGAGGGCAATGCCCAGAGCAGGATATGAGAGGGAACGTGTCCCTTTAAAAAAACTGCCAGCCTTAGTCGAACAGAGGGAAGGAATGTTCTGGGGCCTTAACAAAACCAGATGCCCCGGCTTACTCTCCCTTGCACACATGCTCTCTGTTGCCTTCTCTCACTGCTCGAGCTCTTACTTAACATTGCAGATGGAAGCAAGAACTGGGCAGCCTCCCTCCTCAGCCTGCCTGAAGTCCTCTTTTTCGACTTCTTTTAACATGGTCTGGCTCCTAGTTCCCTGTCGGTGTCCCAATCTCCTTATCTCCTTTTCTGCTCCTCTTTACCTCTTTGCCCTTATACTTGGCAGAACGCTCCCTCATCACCCTCAACCCACAAAATCCAGTGAGACACACACACACATGGGAAACACCAACACGTGATTATTCCACTCCTCTCCTGTACATCCTCTTTAGGTAGCACTGCCAGTACCTGCATTAATACGCCGTAAAAGTGGACATAAGGATCATGCCTTGACCCTGTGTATTGTGTAGGTTAGTTTCAGGTCAGTGACTCGCCCGCTTGATCCGCTCCCAGGGAATCGGCCTGTGAGTGCATTAAGAGATTGTGAAAGGATGCATGAGGCTTGGAGGAGAAGCACCTGCAGTAAGATGAATCCACCTGACCCAACAGGATGGGACTATTTTGCTTTCTGGTATCATTTTTTTGAATTTGTGTGTGTGTGTGTGTGTGTGTGTGTGTGTGTGTGTGTGTGTGTGTGTCTCTGTGCGTGTGTCTGTGTCTGTGTGCGTGTGTCTGTGTGTGCGTGCGCACACATTCATCCGTCTCTTCCTCCCTCTTTCCACAAGTGCCTCACCTGCGCTGCTAGACCTGAGTGGCCTGTACCTGTGCCCATGCCAGCTGCTGTGCCAGCTGTGCAGGGTGAGCAGCAGCAGGATGTGAAGCAGAACAGCATCACAGAAAGAGGTGAACAGACAGAAGCTGCAAACAGAGAGACAGAGGAGCATCATCAAAGGAAGACTGAGTCAACCTAAACACCATTGATCATAATATATTCATTATTAGCTAGGTTGTTTTACATAGCTTAATATTAAGTGGAAAGCATTTCAAATTGGAATTAAGGCTGTATCATTTGTTTTGTAACTAAGCTGCAGTCATACACTGTAAGAAATGTCTTACAAAATAATTACAAAAATTGTGTGTGTGTTTGTGCACAGTAGCTTTACTGTTGATCAATAAAACAATAATTGTAATCCACAACACAACATTGGGGTCATGGAACTCTCTTTTGAAATGTCAATACAGTAAAATAATTTACAACATTATCACAAAGATTGGCAAAAACAAATATAACTGTATAACTTGTTTGTTTTTTTAGATTTACCAGTAATCTTGCATTCAGACTCACATGTCAGGAACCGAACTACAGCAAATTGGTTTTCCAGGGTCCAGGCTTATGGACTTAACACTTCCCGTTTGGAGAAATACATTACACTGGCAGAGGGAACATAAACAATAATCTTCTTAATGTGTGAGCTGCTCTGTGAGCAGTAATAGTAACCACTTACTCAAGCAATTTACCGTATCTGAAAATTAGATGGTGACTAGCACCGTAGTGTGATATAGTAATGCAGTTATCTCCTGGCACTTAACATGGATTAAAATTATAATGATGTTTGTGTTGATTTATGTTAAGATTCATTTCCATCTAATCCTGCTGCACAGGCACCAACATCATGATCTCAGTTCACTTTAATAGCAGAAAACAGGATCTTTAAGACGCCCACTTTGACTTACAATATAGGGAAGCACAGGTGAAACTAATAACATTAATGATGGCTCGTTTAGGTGTCACAGTGAGCTGTGTCAGTGAGTAATGCTCCAGTCAAAGTCAGAGGTCAGAATTTCCCATTTGAAATTCTCAACTTGCAACCTCCAAGGCTCACATAGCCAACTGTAAACAAAACATGGCTGACCGTGTGCACACACTTATACTCTCAGCAGTGCCCTTGGTGTAAATTAAAATGTTTCAATGAAAACATGAACATATGTTACTGTGTTCCCATCTAGCTACACCAGTAGGTAATCTGTAAAAGTCAGTAAATGTTATATTTCCTACTGTTTTCATGTTTCTTGGCATTTTTAATGTTTTGCTGAATTAATATTTTGACTTTCAGCCACTGTTTCCGTAACCAGATAACTAATAACACTGGTGACATATTTTGACATTTATTTACATGCAGATCAGGTTTTACTATATGATAGTATGTATAATTTTATTTAAATACAGGCAAATATTCTTTACATTGCCTTTTAATTGATGGTTTACCATTGATAATGAGCACTTGCATGGGTGCTGCCATTGTTATGTGACTTCAGACAACTGCATCTTCATGAATCCAGGGTAGATGGATTTTCCCCAAGCAGGAACTCCGATTTTGAGTGGCTTTCCATTGTACTTTTCTAGTAGGAGGTCGGAAATTTTTTAGCTCCGAGTTGTCTGGAATGCAGCAATAGTATTCATAGTCCTAGAGCCCTGAGACTTCCATGGAAAGCAGCCATAAGTCCTGTTATTGATCTGGCTGTGACAGGTCAAAATGTCCACAAAAGGTCTGTTGTCCTTAAATTGAAGATTGCTGTTGGTTAGCCAATAACTTTTACTAATAGCAAACTTTTCACTATTGCAGTCTTTTAATCAACACCAGGCAGGCATCTGGTGAGGGTTAGTTAGTGCACGAACAGCACAGCAGGCTTTAATCTCTCTTTGCTGTTGAGGGGCTGCTTGAACTCTGTGAGCGATAAGAAGGCCAGAAAGATACAGAGAGTGTAGAGTTTTTTTTTTCACATCTGTAAATACAAAAAGAAAGGAAAGGAAAATAAAATACTAATTGTTCATTTTAAATGGTAATGGCCACATTATCTCTCTGCTGTTCTCTCCCTTTTTTAACCTGAAAATGGTTTATTGATTGAACTTCAACCTGAATTCCAAGCAACTCCAAAAGTGTGGATGTGCATGGGGATTTCACTTATATTTAAGTCTTTTCCTAAAAAAAAAAAAAAAAAAAAGATCCGCAGTGCTATCAAATGCCAAAAGTCAGACCTGCGCAGAAGACTCACTGAGACAGAGGTAAGACAGTCTTACCTCCAAGGATAGGGTTGCTGGTGCCCTTTGGAATATGTTATACTAGTCACATATTTGCACAGCATGTATAGACATCAGGCCATTGACTTTGACCCCTGGCTGTTAGTAAATTAACTTCATCTGTTCAAGTCTGACCCTCATAGAGAAGGTCACAGAAATTTCAGACAACCTTTTCAGGAAGATAAATCCACTCTCTGTCTGTTGTAGAGATATTCTCCCTTGGGACATCTATATAAGATCTGATCTATGTTCCTTATCTCTTGCTTTTAATGTAATGGCTAATGGAATGATAGGTGATGGGTTTTTAGCATACTTAGAAATAGAAAGTCAGAGAACAAAGCACTAATGGACTAGATGCACATATCCTAGACTTTTAGATAAGTCTCAAGTGTGTGTGTGTGTGTGTGTGTGTGTGTGTGTGTGTGTGTGTGTGTGTGTGTGTGTGTGTGTGTGTGAGGTATTCTCTGGTGTGGTGTCTGCTGCACAGCCCTTGTTCACCTCTTAAGTCAAAGCAGGAAGAAGCTCCCAAGGCCAGGTCTGAAGAGGTTTACAAACCTCTCCTAAATTCTTCCCTGTGGGTGAAATCATGTGAAAGCTGCTTAGGCAGATTATCCCTGCCTCGACGGCAGCTGGCAGTGGGATCCTTGGGAGCGCACCTGACTCAATACTGGTGGTGACGCAACTGCAGCCTGTGGAACAGCGTGCTCCCACAATCCTCTGTGACCTTTTGCCCCGAAGGGAAAAGTTCATCTTGTGGTCCAAAGCAAGCAGGAACTCAATAAGGAGATATCACACACACACACACACACACATTCACACATAAGCATACATCACAGTAGTGCTCTAATCAACATACAATCTGATTGCACACACTTTTGAAATGTGTAATGTGTTACAAATGAAGCATGACAATCAGTCAATTGTTCAGGAATGTGTTTTAAGGATTTTATTGATTATTATGTAATTGTGAATAAAGATTGAAATTCTAAGTGATTGTGGATGGTGCCTAACTTTTGTTTAATCTTAAGTTGCAATAAAGATTTTTTGTTATTTCAAGGACAATAGTTTCCTGGACTCATTTCTCTGGTGTTTACGCAGTCCAATAAGCTTTATCAAGGTGGAGACAGGCATTCAATGTCTGACAATAAGATAGATCAGAAAGTAACAACAATAAAATCTTTTTTTTAAATCATATTATTAAAGACACTGGCTGTGAAAAAAAAAAATCAAATGCAAATATGGATAAGGGAGAAATCTATCTATCTTGCATCCTTATTTAGGAGAAATAAAAAAATGATGTCCTCTCTACTGAATGTCTGCATTACCGCATTTGGATACCTGGGCTGCTGCTGTGATGACAAATAGCCTAATATGGTGTCGTCATCAGGTTTCCCCTGTTGTGAACTAATCCTGCAGATTTGTAGCAGTGCATGTTGATGAAGTTTACAAAAGAGTAGACGCTACTGTGCCGCAACAAATTCAAAAAGAAACCTCTTTTTTCTACATTCGCTCAACTCATTTTTTAATGCCAGACACAGAATCAAATGTGATCATGTGAGGATGTCTTTTGAGTGGAATGTAATAGCTGTCAGCTCCCTGTCAGCTGCTGTCAGTTTTGACGGTGAAGAATATCATCGTATGGTGAGCCAACTGTACTGTGTTTTCCATCATGTAGTCTGTTATACGATATGAAATGTCTTGATTTATCTGTGGCAGCTGCTTTAGGACTTTTCTGTCAGGCACTGGCAATTTAGATGGAAAGTTTAATTTTTCTAAATTTGGTTTAGGCAAAAGCAGAAGAATGGTCTCCTTGCAAGTATATTTTAAGGTCCCGGGCACTCTCACCTCATGAATGCGCTAATAATATCCATGTCCTATCACACTCAGTTTTATTAAAAAATAAAGGGACTTCACACAGGAGCCAATAACAAAATATCAGTGGTAGATCAATGGTAGATCAATGGTTTGCTGAAGCAAGAAACACCTTTTCCTGTCTGCTGATGAAGAAGTAAACTATGATGCTTGGAGACACTGAAATGCTACAATTTCAGGGGCCATAATCCACAGAGATAATGCTACCAAGTACACAGTCACAGACAACAGCTGTGGTCTTTGATATGAAGACTAAAAAAAATCTGCTGTGTATCACATTAAGTAAAAACAGTCTGTTTCCTGGCAGGCAAGATAAGTAAGCGATAGAGGAGTCATGACTAAAGATGAAATGTTTAAATATATGGAGTCCCAGGTTAATTTTGCAAAATTTTCAGATCAAAGTCAGTTGTACCTGTACGTGTGACTCATTACTTTGTCAATTAAACAACAGCTGTTTTTAACAAATTTAAAATTTAGCTATTAATTACACTGAAAGGCAAGTTCAAGTATGAAGCTGCGATGACCCAAATTACAAGAAAAGTGACACAGGTGCCGTAATCATTTACAAATCCTCAATAATTATTCAAAATATTATTATTATAGAACAGTTTAAGATTGTAAAAAAAAGCAGAAAGATGTAAGAAAAAAATTTCTAGTGTATTTAGTGTGATTTTCAATGAGTCTTTTCAATTCTATGTAAATCACTCAAAATATGAGTAATTCTTAGTTTTAATAATGTATTGAGATACTATGTGAAAGTCCCACATCAGCACTTGACTCAGATTATCTCTACGTGACATATAAATAAAGTCAGTGGTAGAAATTAACTAAGTACATTTTTTTCAAGTGCTGTACTTTTGAGGAACTATTTCCATTTTCGACTACATTATACTTCTAACTCCACTATATTTTGGAAGCCAATATTGTACTTTTGACTCCACAACATTTATTTTAAAGCTTTAGATACTAGTTGCAGATTCAGATCATTATCACAAAATTTTATCAAGAAATAAATAATGATGTATTTATCAGTGTGTTAATATAAAAACATCATTGATCAATTGGGAAATTCAAAAGCTACCCAGCAGTACATAGAGCAATTAAAATGAGCACCACCGTTACTTGCTGCAACATTAGAGATGCTTACACATTACAGTAATGCATCAGTAATTATGATCCAATAATATAATACATATTATTCTGAAGATAGATAGATATTTATTAGTCCTTTCGGAAATTCATAGTGTGTCATACAGCAAACATCATCAACAGACCAACAACATCAACAGACCAACAACCAGACAACTGCTTTGCCAACACAAAAATCTGTGCTATACAAGTTATACTAAGGTGCAGCTCTCCGACACCCCGAGAATCAGCTCTGTTTTATTATCGCACTGTTTGTTAAGAAAAATGGATAATACTGCATTAAAAGAACTTTAAGTATATTTCAACGTTAATACTTCTGTACTTTTATGTAAGTAACATTTTGAATGCCGACTTTTGCTTGTAACAGAGTATTTCTACACTGTGGTATAGCTCCTTTAAGTTAAGCAAAAGATCTGAGTATTTTTTTCACCACTGAATAAAGTTATACTACGATAAATAAAACATTTTCAGTGTATTCACCGATTAATATACTCCAGAGGGACTTTTGAAAGGAACACGTGGATTTGAAAGAAGCATTTACTTGTTTGATGTAGCAACATTTGTGAAATGCACAGAAATGTCAGCAGCTCACTTGTGAGAATTGAAGAGTGATTGTAGAAATGTCAGCAGCTGAAATGTGGTGAGGTCTGGTTTTTCTCCTGCTGTCTTTCTTTGTGGTTGTACAGTCTTATTTTAAATGGAGGGAATTTATCACTATAGTCTTTTATTTTGTCTCATGCAGCTGTTTATGGGGGGCTGCCCAGCTTTGATAAATGAACAATGAATAAAGCAGTTTATTCAAACATTCAGTAACTGTCGTCTGAGCTTTTTGTCATATTTAACTGTGTAATGGACATGACCATAAATCATGTGAAGACCTGCGGTATAAGGAGCACATTACAGGCAAAAATTGCTCAGGCTTCATATAAACCTAAGTAAATTATTCTTGTTTTTCATAAA